TGTTTGAGAGGCTGAAGTGAACAAAGGGCTGGGCAGCTACTTTTCCTAAGTTCCATTCAATTTCATTGCCTTTTAAGTGATTTTAATGTTTGTTTGTATAATTTTATTTTAATGAATTTTCTTGGTGAGATACACCATGTTGTAGAGAACTGTTCTACCACTGATGCCAGAGAAAGCTTAAAATGGAAGCTATCTTAGGGGATGTGGTATTTAACAGCCCTCCTTTCCTTTTCCTTTGGCTCCCCTGGAAGGCTGGGAGAAGAGAAAAGAAAGCACTAAGACAGGAGAAAAGGCAGTGACACCTGCCAAGTCAGCAAGGCCAGACCCATCATTCCCCAGAGGCTCTTCAGAAGCGCTGAGGCTCCAACATGACCAGAAACAGTCCTCAGCCTCAGAGCAGAGGCTTCCCTGGAGATCCACACCCAGGCACTGAGCAGCATGGGCTCAGCAGGGTGCTGCCCATCTCCCCCAGAGACCAGTTACGAGCTTGGCTCTTCCTTAGGTTCCCCCAGGAGGGATGCTCAGAGCATCACACCAACAAGGGTGTTGGAACAGAAGCCCTGGGCCCTCTTGCTCCTGTACTTGGTAAAGCAGGAAAACCATCAGACAGAACCAGCAGGTTCCTCTGGTTATGGCTGCCTCGTTATTTAAAGGGGGACGAGCTGAGATAAATCACACCAGTTCCCTCGGGAGGATATTCCAGGCAAACTATAGTCCAAGGGTGCAGTGATGAATAGAGAGGGGGATAGACTCACATTGTTTGATTTTCCAGGCTTGGCAGTGAGAAAGGTGGAAATGTGGCATTGACCAAGTGGCTAAGCCTCTGCCATTATGCCTTTATCCACTGACTTGACTCAGTTGTTAAACACTCCCTTTTTTCTAACCTTTCTCACATTTTTATTTTGAAATTTCAAACTCCCTGTGTCCTCCCACCTGGCCAAATAACAGTGCCTTTCTCCACATCCCAAAGTAGGAACCTGTAACAAGGGAGAAATGTTCAAAATATGGACAATTACTTTTTTTTTTTTTCTTCTTTTTAACAGTTCATAGATTACAGCCACTTGTTTTCAGTAAATATTTGAAGCCACAGTCATTTCCTTTCAGTAGAACTTTAAATTCTGCAAACTCACATCTTTGTTCCTATGTTTTGATGCAGAACTGCTGCTTTTTGGGGTATTCGTGTTGGATGGTTTCCTGCTTTAAATGCACTGTAACGTAACCATAACGATATACCACTTTTCCATGCTTAGCATATTCATTACATTGTCTTCCTCTCAACTTCTTGATTTGCATGCAAGAAATCTGTGTAAGAGCAAATGCAATCTGCAAGCCAATAAAATCCTGTCCCATGGGAGCAAGGAGTCAAACTGATACGTGTAGCTCAGATGAAGAATATGAAGCACATAAAAGAGAGTGGTTCTGCATCGTGTGAAAGGCCTGTGGTCCAAGCACAGTGTGCCAGGTACAGAAAGCTGCCGTGTGAAGAAGCAAAAAGCCTCCGACTGTATTTCCACAAGACATCGGCTTTATTGACAACACCAGACCATGAAATCTCCAGTTCATAGAAATTATAGAACAGCCCAGGTTGGAAGGGACCTCAAAAGATGATCAGGTCATGACCAGCCTGTGGTGGGAAAGGGAGCCTGGACGAGATGCTGCAGCACCCTGTCCGATTGCATCTTGAAAGTGACGGGGCCTGTACCAGTCCATATGAACGCCTGGAAGCCTGTGCTGTGAATTGAGCCCAGCAGGTAACTCAGGTTAATAACTACCCCCTCCCAAAAGACTGCACTTTTAACCCCGGTCACTTCGGTGACTGGGTTTAGCGTGTAGCCTCACCCGCAGCTGCACCAGCACAACGGAGCTGACAAGCAGTCTTATGGGAACAGGAACAAAGAGCTGTGGGGCAGAAACTTCCTCCGCTGGTTTCGCAGACACCCCCTCAAGCCCTTCCTGGCCAGCCAGGTTGGGGCATGGCCACTGAGGGCTGGACACTGTGCTTGGCATGGGCAGAGATGTGCGAAGATGACCCAGATTGGGCACAGGTGTGTAGTCGTACTGCTGTCAGATGGGTCCATGGGCACCTGGCTCAGTGAAATGTCAACCCACCAACTTGTTCAGAAGAAATCTGAGTTGGGAAGCAGTGCCCAGATTGGCAACCAGAGACCACCGTGCTCTTGGCGCAGTTCCTGAGAACCTTAAGACCAGATCTGCAGAAGGGTGGTCTGCTCTGTTGGCAGCTCCCAAACCACTGTGGCATTTTAAGGCACAGGGAGATAAATGGAGATTTTCCTGATGTGGGCAGCTCAGTTACAAAAATATGAGAAGTGGAAACAATGTTTGCAGTAAGAAGCTTTCAAAGAATTTTTAGTGTAATAACATTATTAAAAAAAAAAAAAAAAAAAAAAAAACAGTTAAAGAAAAAGATTACGTAAAGGTATTGGGCATAGCCAAATTGCCATTAAGGCGGTCTGCTTTAAAACATCCACGTAGGGACATTTGAACTGTGACAGCTGAAAAAAAGTTTCACAATTACATCAGCTTTGTAGGCTGAACTGTTACTATCATTCACAGGAAAATAAACCAGTGACTAAACACACACACAAAATATTATGACAAGGTTCCCTCCCCGTCATATCTCTCAGCAGCCATGGGACTGGCTGACACAGTGACTCAGGTGAGGCTGGCAGAGATCCACCACGGCTGCCGCTTGTGTGTTTGGGTCTAGGTGAGGTCAAGCTGAGATGGTGCCGGGCTGGGAGCAGCCCACGGGAGGCATCTTTAGCAAGCACAGCCTTGCCGAAGGCCATGAGCCATGCTAAAGGACATGGGCAGCTACATCTCGGCCATTTCCTGGTATTTCTCTGGCTCTCCTTGCATCAGCTGTATCAAGAGGCTTCTGCCTCTGGTGCTGACAACTGGATCATGTAATTTACTTAGGAAAATAAAACACATTTACTTAGAAAAAGAAAATGCAGGAGTTGTTTTCTTATCTTCTCATTAACATCTACGGGTTGTGATGTCTTGTGTGTAAATTCAAATTAACTCTCCTCCCATCTGGATTTCTGTAGCTTGGAATAACATTTTTTTCTTCTCAGAATAAATGCCTTTGAGAAGCTACCATGTTTGAAGAGCAAAGGGTTGGGTTACTTGCTATGTTAGTGCCTGACTAGGAAAACCACAGCCAGCTCTGAAATACTTTGTCAACTATTTTTCATGTTGCAGGACTTCATAGCCCACAGAGATTGGTATCTTCGCAGGCAGGGCAAGTTAGCCGAGAAATGTCTTCCTGTGAGTTTGTTAAATCCTGATTTTTACCACAGGTGTAACTGCCTTGATCCACCTCTGCCCTGTTTTTGGCAGGCCGAAAGGTTGCTTGCCCATCCTCACCCTCAGGGATGCTCTGGAGAGGCTCCTCCATGCAGTAAATGGGGAGGAAGCCTCCCAGGGTGCTCGTGCTCCTCATCCCCATCCCTCTTCCCCCACTCTCCTAGTGCCAGCAAAAGGGGTGGGAAGCAGCAAATCTGCCTCATTGGCTTTGGCTTGCTTAGAGAAAGAAAAGCCTCAGAAGTCAACTGGCACAGCTTGACAGCACCCCCCAATACAAACCCCAACACACACAACAACTCCAGCAGCCCTTCAGACTTGCATGCCCGCTCCTCAAACTCCTGCCAGGCCTGCAGTGTTGGGCTGAGGTGGCTGCTTCTTGTCTTCTGACAGCTGTAGCCCTGTGGGGGACCCCAGGCCTCCCCGTCACTGCTACAGGAGAGCTGGGCTCAGCTGGGCCCTTCCTCAAAAACCCTTTTCCCCCTGGCTGCCTCTGCTGGGTGGTCAGCATGGGGCAGGCCGCAGTTTCAGCAGGAGGGTGGGGGGAACGTGATGGGCTGCGCTTGCTGACACGACCACAGCTTTTTAAAACAAGCTTATGCTGCAAAATGAGACAACTTGATGATTTTCAGCATGCTGCCGGCTGCAGACAAGGCTCCCAACAAGTGCAGCTCAGAGCAGCTCCACAGGAAGCCACACACACAGCCAGAAACAGCGGGGCAGGCCCTAGAGGTAATGGGGCAAGAGTAGCCTGCAGGCCTTTGGTACCATGACACTGTGAGAATCCGGCCTTCATCTGCAATGCAGAGTAGATCAGATATTGTATCCACATGCTGCTGCCATTCCTCTCTTACCTACTTGTGCACAAGTCAGGAACAGCAACATGGATGAGACAAGCAGGGAAGAAGAGGTGGCTTTTTCATGTTGATATAGCTACCCATAGAATACGTATGTTCCTCTGCCTTTCTATAGGTTACACTCTTAGCCTTATCATCACATTACTCAAAAGACAAAAAGGGAGGTCTTGTAGGGAAAAAAGCAGTACTTACACATACCTCCTTATTCAATACTCTATTTCTTATTCAACACAGGACAAGGTGGGGCTGAGTCTTTACCCACCTCTACTTCCACAGAAACTTGCCATTAGTGGCTAATAATAATAATAATTGGTTGCTACCAGTTTGGTCAACCAAGGGTGCCAGATGTGGGCATAACTCTTCAGCATGTCTTAAACACTTGGCCAAAGCCAGACGTTGCTGTTCCACTCACACCCTGCTTCCTCCTCCCTTACTAACAGCAGAAGTGTCCTCTGTTTTTCTTGGATTCAGGTAAGTCCTTCTCTAACCAAGAGTACCTTATACTTCTGAAGTATATGTTATTATGAGCACTGCAGCCCTGTCAGCACCACATCCAACAGGCTCCCATCTCTATTCAGTCCTCCATTTTTGTCAAGGGGAACTGAGAAACCAAAATTCTTGTTGTCATGTTGCAACTGTGCTCGGACAAGCCTGAATCTCCAGGGTTGGAAATACTCAGAGGAACCTTCCAGAAAAAACAAATCCCCCAGAATGATCAGGCCCATCAACAATTTATATGTCTGTTAACGTAATGGAACTTGAGCCAAAACAGGACACAGTGAAAAGACCACATGTCTTCAAAGGAATTCGTTTGGACCACACACAAGTGTCAGTTTAGCAGATTATTTTATTAAAGGAGTTGAGATTCTGCACTTAATTTATTCCTGGCCTACTGAATGTTTCATTACATGCAAACGTTCAAACGTTTTCTGGGGACAAAGGGAAAGGTTTGGGTTGTTTTGGTCTATCGGCTGTCTCCTCAAGCCAGTCAAAGGATCATTTTGACTTTGCTGGGGCTTTGAATCGGATTCTGCAACTCTGCTGATTTTATGGGGCAGACTGAGGGTTGCAGTGACTCAGAACACCTAGCAAAGTTGCTTGTTTTTTCTCTCTACCATCAGTTGCTGTTTGGATGGTGTGTTGTGGCATACGTAGTGCTTCAGATCCAACCTGGTGATGCTGCAGCAGTCGGTATGGCATTGTCTGGCTCTGGCTCTTGCCCTGACCCCGGGGAAGGAGGCTGCAGTGCAGAGCAGGGAGACCACGGCAAAGCTCGCTGAAAAACAAGCGGAGAGGTGGGAAGGATCAAATTCATGGCATAAGCAAATACTCTACAAATCATCAAGAGACTAACTGGATGGCCACAAAGAGATTTTTATCAAGGGTTTTATACAGCTAAAATCAATTCATTCACTTCATCTGTTTTGAACATACTGGAGATGCAGCTAAAGATGTCACAAATGGTTAGAGTTGCCTGGAAACCTTCAAGGTGTCAATTGACCATATTTTTAGGCGCAGGAATGTTACATGGACACACCACAATTTCACCAGTGATTTCTTTAAAAAACAAATGGAGTCAGAAATCTACAAGGGAATAAAAATATCAGGAGAGTGAAGCTGAGTTGAAGCAGGGTAACTCAAAATCAATATTTTGCTTTTAAACTCTTAAGGGGAGGCCCAGGAGGGCTGCACTCATTTTGTCCTCCTTCCTTATTGTCCTCAGAGGGTTGGCTGAGAAGTGACAAGGCTGCTCCATACTTACCGCAGGACATTCCTCACTAACAAGCCACTTGTTGGAGTATTTGGCTGCTGCTTTCCTGCCCAGCACCCGGCTTTTGCTGAACAGCATCAGAGAACGGTCAAGGCCAACACGAAACTAGAAGGGGAAAGAGGCTCCAATTTTTCTTTTTGCCACACACACACGTTTATCGGCCCCCTGCCTGCCCACACTGCAAGCTCAGCTCTGCACATAGAACTACGTCATCACATCTCAACATCCCTGGCACAACCCCTGCAGTTTGCACTCAGGGAGTAAATTCATCCTGTGGTTACTCCAGAGAGCAGGCCAGTGGTGGCAGGAGGTGGCCACAGACCTGCACCCTGCCATTTTTGCTTGTGGTCATTTGTCTATGGCTTTGCCTAATGCAACTGGGGAGGAGATGAAAACAGGCAGAAATAGACAACAGGCCAAGAAACTTCTGCAAGGCTGTTTTATGAAGTTCTTATAGCACAAAAATACATGATCAGGAAAGGGGACAAGGGCATAGGTCTAAAGCCCTTAGGCCCTTGACTCCCTAAATATTTCCCTGGGATCACGTGCATGTAGGCTAAGCATCACAGCCAGCCTGGGTGAGGGTTTCTCCAGGGCGATGGGCCATGAATGACCGCAACTTTCCGATACCAACCTGTGCACTCCCTCACCTCTGCAAGATGTTTCCACAGGGGCCTTGTGACCCTGCAAACCCTGACTTTGGTGTCACAGGAGAGCCTCTTCCCTGACCCATCAGGCAGCACACAATGTAAGCAGTGCTACCAAGAAGGGGAGCAGGGGGAGAATTGAGCATGTAAATCCTCAAGATGATGCAGCAACAAATTTCAGAAACTACTTTCACCAAATCCTAAGGTGATGGGAGCTATGTGCCTCAGGATTTTCCAAGCACTGGACCCAAGTCCTTATCAAGAAGTAGGATGAGCCCTCAACCAACACTTTGGGCTCTCAGTAAGCCAATAAGCCAGAGATGTCAAAATCTTAGTGGGTAAGAGCCATAGCCCTCATCCCTGCTCTGCTTGGTTCATAACTATTCAGGTCATCAGGAACTTTGCCTGAGGTTTCAAGATCACTTCTTGAAGAACTGTCTCCAGAAACACCTCCTGCAGCAGGTAGAAATCTCTGTGAACCTTGGGCCACCAGAGCAGGGTGAGGAGGCTGGTTAGTGTCCCAGGGAGGACCAGGTTCCTGTCTCCCTGCCCTGTGTGGCAAGGAGAGTTGCAGGTGCAGCCATGGGACTTAGTTCTGTCCCTCCAAACCTCCCTGGCTGTGTGTAGTCAAATGACCACACAGACATGCCAGGGTGGGCTTCCAGCTGGGAGCCTTCTGCTAGCACAGACTGAGGAGCAATGCCAGTGGTCATTTCTTGCTTGCTGTGTCCTGGGTGGAGTAGAGCTGTGAGAGCTGCCTCCTGTTGAAAAAAAAAAAAATCTGATCAAATATTTACACCTTTTTGAAATGAGTCCTTCCCCTTCTGCTGCTCAATGGAGATCTCCACAAGCCTGTCCCAGGCAGCCCCACCTAGCACCACCTCAGCAGGAGGACCACCTTGCCAGCAGAAAGCTTGCACCAAAACTCTGCTCTGTTCTTTTTTTTTTTTTTTCTTGCATGTTTCCATTTGTTTTCTAAATGTTCCTCTTCCCCTGGTTGCAAAGGTCCATACCATCCCACCAGAGCCCATCAGGCACTGCTCTGCTAGGCTGCATTTTGGTTTATTCCACCTCCACGCCCCTGTCGGTGACACTAAAATGAGCTGCTTGCTCAGACTTCAGATACTCCAGAGCAGACAGATGTGTGCTTCGGTGGCACCTCATTAAGTCGTTTGTTTAAACCCCCCCAACAATCCCCTCTCATGCAGATGGAAATGCCAGCCTCCCTTTTTGCACCCAGATGTGGATTCTCCCCTGGCAGATACGTGTTGATCTGCCCAGTTAAAAAACTTCAAACCCCTAAAATTCTGGTCTTTGACCCTACCCTAAAACTAATTTGAACTATTCTCAGCTGATCTGGAGTTGAAGGAGATGGCTTTTAACTGGAAATACCTTATCTTTAGACAAGTAATTGTTGTTAATTAAACCAGTAAAGAGACATTAGCCTCTGCTTACTTAAGTTTTAGCCTGTGTATTAAAGGCAGTCCTTGATGTCCTTTTAACTGAGGATGTTCTCCTGGAATTGGACAATCTGAGTGCCAATATCCCTTTCCCATGAGATCTGAAAAACAAACCTTGAAGCTGAGTAAACTCTCCATCGTCACAAAGCATCACTTCCAACACTTGCTTTCTCTCTTCAAAACAGAAGTACAGCTTCTCCAATTCTGGATATTATTTTTGCAGTAATAGAAAAAACAAACAAATTGTAATCAGATGTTAATAACAGGAATAAACTATTGTTTCTTGTGACTGTGTGGCAATAAAAGGTGTGTGTGTGTTTGCACATGAACCTTTCCCTCACTGGCACTCCTGATTTGTGATTAACAAGGCAGAGGTGCTGGAGTTGTAGCAGTGAGAGCACGACAGAAAAAGGAAAAGCATCAGGCACAAGATTTGACAGTGCAAGAAGAAATATTGATGGTAATATATTTCACATCGCCTAACAAACTGCCTCACCGTTCACTTGCAGAAAGACAATAAGTGCGATAATTGAGGAAATGGTGATAATGCATTGCAACCAAGTGCTGTGGAGATGGAAGATGGCCTGGAACAGCCCAGGTAAAATCCATCTGGATGAGGATATCAGGCACATTCCTGCAATGCAGGGAATGCTCAAAGAGTTCCTTGCTTGCAGCATGGCAAGTGTGATGTTGTCAGAGAGGATGGAAGTACCCTCAGACAGATCCAGCAGTGCACGTGCCGATGTATCTTCATAATTTTTTTTTTCCCTGAGGTTTGAATCCCCCAAATCACACACCTGTGTCAGCCATCACCTTGGGCCAGAGCCAAGCAGCCCCAGTGAGGTACTGTGGTTACACTCGTTGGGCTTCACTAGGGTTGGGTCCTCTTGTCTCGCAGCGTCATTTACACCAGGGGAAAGTGAATGTCAGTTGCAAAATGCCAGCACTTGACACCAATTTCCTGTCAAAAACTTCTGTTGTATGGTGCTAGCCAGTAGTGAGCTGACTCCAGAGAAAGTTCTCGCAATGACTACAAACTGGAGAAAGTCCTATGCAATGTATTATTTTTCACCCGCAAAACATCTTGTACAAAACCATATTTCTCTTTCAGCAAATTCATTAATGTAGTCTTAAACAACATTCTTTGGAAGTATTTCTTCTGTAGATTCCCCTTATGATTAAGAAAAAAAAAAAAAGCTTCCCAAAATTTAAACTACATTTCCCTGCCAAAAAACCCGTTTTCAAATTTTGTCAAACATGGAAAAAAATCTGTACAAAGAATTCTCCTCAGCCACCTCTCTTTGGATTTCTGGTTTGTCCTGAAGTTGTCACACAGGCGTAAGGCAGCCAGGCACAGGAGGTCCCTGAGAGTCAGAGCACACCGGTGCTTTGTTTATGCCTTTTCTGCTGGCTGCAGGGTGAGGAAGGAGAGAGGTGGCACAGCCTCTTCTTCTTTTACCTCCTTGCACTGCATTCTAGCAAGAAAAAGAATCAGGAGGAAGGGCAAGTATGGGGATAGGTCCCAATATTTTTAAAGGTTGTTACATTAAAAATTAGCTTAAAACTTGTTTCTTTAAATTAGGCATTTAGTAATTCAACTGAGTGACTTGAAAGAAGGTTAGTTACAGTTTGCTATGGGTGACAGAAGACACCACAAGTTTTGTCTGTGTCTATCAGCCAAAGCTCTTGCAGAGCCATTGGTTTTCACCGTTTTAGCAAGTAAAGACTTCATCTTAAAAATAGGAGGTGGGAGCACACATGAAGTCTCACCACAGACAATAACAAAGCCAGAAATTAAATGCAGAAATCTGCCCTGGCTCTGTTTCTGCTCTACCCAACAGGCCACATCTTCCTTGAATGCAGAGACAAATTTCCACTTTTCACACTTAGCACAAAACCTCAATTTCTCGCACTACAGTCCTTTGCTCTTTCCTGCAACGTGTGTTTTAAAAGATCCACCACTGCCAGCTTCCTGCTAAACCAACTGGAATGCATCATGCCTGGAAATAAACTGAAACCTTCTCTGGAGAGCCACTAAAACAGCACAAAGTTTCAATACCCCTGGAAGCCAGAGGAGGAATTCCCATCAAATGTGGTGATTTGGTTCTGAATCTTAATTGACAATGATAAATAATAATAATAATAATAAAAGCATAGTTCTACCTCTTATAGTGAGATGTACATTGCCAGCATTTGAAGTGTTTCTACCATCACCCAGACTATTGTTACCAAACCAAAATATGGCACAAGGACAAACAAACCAAACCTGCTTATTAATGGGTGACAGGAAGGGTACAGTTATGAGTAAGGCCAGAGCACCACCACCCAGAGCTCTGCCCTCCATTTCGTTGAAGTTATCATCTTGCTGATTCTTCCTTTTGGTTCAGTTGGCACCAACCAAGAGGACCCTGGTGGTTGCTGACCCCGGTGGGAGCAGGAGCTCCGTGCTTTGTCACTCTTGTTCACTGTGGTGGTTCTGTAGTTTTCTGTGCCAACTGTGAAGTGGAGAAAAAGAAAATTAGTGCAAATACTAGAAATATTAGATAAATATTAGTAAAACATCAACAATAATAATAAAAAAAGATTCTAGTATGACCATGTGAGAGGGTGAACGAGTGTGTTTGAATTTGTTGGGCAGTAAAGGGAGAGAAAACAAATGAGCCCTAACCACACTGTCAAAGGATGAAATAGCTACAGATGAGATTGATTTACATTCCAGTTTTTCAGAGGGTAATAAGGATTCACCAGTTCAAAAAGAGATAAGCAGGCTGGACTTTCAGCTCTCCCATCTGGGAGCATTGCTGTTTAAAGAGAAATGTTTATTGACCTTAATGGCTTTAATGCAAAAGGGTATTGGGTATTTGCACACCGATTTCTGAACCTCCAACAGAAACACAGTAATGTCTGAGAGCACAAAACAACACCCAGCAGGTCTCTGCTTTCCAGAAGTATCACTATTTAGAAAAATGACTTACCAGTTCATTTTTTTCTTTCAAGTAAGGAAACTTTCAAAGTAACTAAGAAGCAAATGATTTAAAAACCCTGAGGAGACTTGCTTTTTAGAAGTTAAAATCTTCTAGGACTATCTACTATGACTTAGCTTTAAGAAAAGAACTCGACACTTCCATGGTAGCAGCAAGTGTCAGTGCTTTCCTTCCTAGACTGCAAGATATACGAGTATAGGAACACTTAGAGCATAATCAAATCTGTACATGATCAGCTGTGAAAAGAAATCTGGCTGATTGATTGACAATTTCTTAGCTGTCCACTACAAATTATATGGCTATTGTATTCTGTGCCCAGAGCAGGATGATCTAATAACAGCCATAATAAAGATAATAGACAGAAGACTCACTTTGCTATGTTGATTGTGCACTTGGTCTTGCATATCAAGGTACGCCTACCTTTTCTCATTTCCACATGATGCCCAGCAGATGAAAAGGCAGTGTAACGCACACCTAAAACAAATGGAATTAATCTGGAAATCACGTTCACTGCCACTTTTTGATCTGGTGCTTGTCTAAGAAAAAACTAGCTTTGAGTCACAATACAAATCTCTGTTTCACATTAGTCTGTGCACAAATTTGGCAAATGGCTTTGAGTCATTTATGCCATGCACAACTTCAGACCTCTTCTTGAGTCCCATTTATCACAACTAAACACCACTTCCAGTATTTGGCTGAATCAGGGGCTGGATTCATTGTTCCCATGGACAGGCAGCCTTATGCCACATGTACTGTGGTATACAGTGGTTAATTTCCCTGGGGAAAATAAATCTTGCAGAAATCTCTCTTCACCTGGCCTTTTATTAGACACCACTAGATCCGAGTCCTTGGAGAGCATGATTTCTTTGGCTGCAATGGCATGTGCACTCTTAGAAAACACAGAAATAGGCTAGGCACAGCAGTGCTAGCACTAGTACCAAATCCAACAGCCTGACTACTGCTTGTATGTTGCTTAACAAACAGTCAAGAAACAGCCTTGGCTCATGAATGAGCCTGCCTGAGCACCCTGGAGAGAAGATTGCTTATACTTGGCTTTCTTCTGCTTCCTCCCTCACCAGATTTGCCCCTCTCCCTCTTTCTCTCACCTCTTCCAGTTTTAACCACCAGATATGCCCTTAATGGTTTGGCACCTGATGGCAATCAAGGGAAAATTAACATGTTCCTTCTAACTGACATGCTAACATTTTCTAAACCACTTCAGTTTCCACCCTGGGAATGCTATGTTCCTGCTCAGCCTCAGCAGATTTGTATTTCACACAGGGGACAAACAAAGCTACTCTCTAAAGGATGTAGTTTGTGATCTGCTTTCCTTGAAATACCACACACTTCCATGGGCATCCTCCCCCTTACCACCAGTGAACGGACAGCCACTGTTGGTGTAGGATATATTGGCTTGAAGGAATTAAAGCCTCATCTGGGACAAGAAACTAATCATGTATTAAAAGTAATCGCAAAGGGGTGAAATAGCATCAGTCAAATTTAGATTTAATCCTGAAAGCAGCACGCACCTCCTGTTGTTCTTGTGCTCCATGGGGCTGTGGTTTCATGGTACAGAACGCTCAGCAGCAAAACAGGCTTGCAGTACCTCTGGGATCCCTTTCTCTGCCTTCTCTCTTTTGCAAGTAAGACCAGCATGTTCATGCCTCGATTTTGCTTAAGACCCCAATTAATTTCTAGAGGAAGAAAGCAAGAAGCACATCGATATCAACATACAACAATGACCCCACACATTGCAGAGGGGGTCAATACAGTGGACCAGATAGCTTTCCTTCCTCCCTATCTCAAACATTTCTAAGACAACACACAAGATGAGACTGCATCATCTCTACCAGAACAGCTGTCTTCAAAATGGCACAGTACAAATTTGTAAAAGAGTAACGCAAATTAAATTGTGCACACTGCAGGAATTTATCAATCTGTATCACCAAGGGAGAAAAATAAGACAGACAAGCCATCTATGTCTAACATGCTGTAGTGAGAGAATTGTCATCATCTTTGGGATTTTATAAATAAAATAAATATAAAAAGACAAGTAATTTTCTCACCTAATTTTCCTGTAGAACTGATAATTAAGTGTTGTTGGCTGCATCACCAGCACACATTTGTGATAGTTGATATAGTGTCTCTGCATATTTAGAAGCTAAAAATCTTCTCTTTTGCTGAAGTAAAAATACCTGTTTCATGGCCTTTTATCTCCTTCAAGTCATAATCCAGCTTTTATTTTTTAAAAGTTGCCATCGATGAAAGGTCTTATATTTTTTGAATCTTTCACATACCCAGGACCTCACTGAAAAGCAGTTACTGTATGTATTATGGAATAAGTCCAAATACATTGAGAAAGTCTTAAGATGTTACATTAAAACATACATTAAGAAGTGTACATTCAAAAAATGCAGGGTCAAAGTTTGGAAGACCAGACCTCCACTCAAGGTGGAGGTCTTTAGTTCAGCTGCTGATTTTACTTTGCTGTTTGACATTTTGTACATCCACTAATTTATGTTTTTATGCGTGAAGTAACAAAACAAAGCTAAAGTAATGCTATACATAGGAAAAAGGATCATCACACGTGAGGAAAGAGTTTGTGGATTTTCTCACAAGTGCATACTTACATACAAGCATGGTTCATTCCTCATGCAGCAGGTTGGCAATATTAACATTGTACTTGGTCCTTCCTCTCTTAGTGGCTATCGTCATTGTCTCAGCTTTGCTGTTTGCAAAGTGAAGGGGAGGCGTGAACGAGGGCAGGCTCTGAACCTGTGAGCAAGAACCAGTGCAGAGCATGGATAAACGCCCTCAGAAGCAGCAGGATGACTGTGCCCTGCTCCCCAACCCTACAGCCTCTCTCCCTATGGGATTTCCCACCACAGTAACACCACATGACAGAGGCAGGGGATCACAAACCCTCTCCTTCCTTGTTTTAATTCCAGCCGCTTGTCTGTTACACAGTGGTTTGTAGACTCATCCTTCTGGATAACAGATACATCAGGACAGCATGGAACTGCAAGCACCACACTGATTGAACACCTCCAACAGGACACGAATGGCTACAGGCATCGGAGGACTGGCCTGGAGGCATCTCCTCCTCCTTCTCATGGGAGATGTTCTCCAAGGCCTATAGAAAATTCAGACCTCCAGCTGGAAAGTCACAGACTTCAATTATGCAGCGAGGAACAGATGATAGCAGAGGCATCTATTCCAGCACACCTTACACACCCTCAGCGTTTCAGCTCTGTCCTCCAGCCCTAACTCACATGACTCTCTGCCTTACTGGACACCCCCATGGCCACTGGGGGACATCTTTCTTGCCTGAGGGAGATTCTGGTAGCCTGACCACTTCACCTGCTATCCAGCACCAAATCCTTCAAACTTTGTGGTCTACCTCAGCCTGAAGTACCAAGAGAAGCAAGCCACTTCCCAGGAGATGCAGAGCTCCTTTCTGTCCCTCCCCAGACCAGTGTCCCACCAGAGACCCTTCACCCCCAGCACCCAGCCCGAGGCTCTAGCACATACCACCACAGGGGAACTGAGGAGAAGAGCAAGCTGGGAGAGGAGGTATCTTCAAAGAGCCAGCTGGACCCAGAAGAGGTGATCAGGTTAGAGCTGGAGTGGGTGTCAATGGCATCGTTATCACCCAATGTGGCAAGAGATGAGGCATCTCACCTGGCGGTGAATCCCCCATGCAGCCCACCTGAGGAAGGCCCTCACATCCCAGTCCTCCTGATGAATCCAGCTGCAGCTCTTGCCCCAGAGGAAAAATACACTCTTATATCACAGGGTGTCTGGGACTCACCTCTGAGCACACTGACAGACAGGATTTACCTGAAATCAATGTCTCTGTACTCATGGAGGGCCCCGATGAGCAGCTGCAGTAGTTTGGTGCAGCAGCACCCAGAGCTGCCCTACCTGTCCCCGGGCTAGAGGTGCTGGCAGGGGTAAAGGCAGACAGCCACCAGCTGAAACTCAGAAACTACTCCAGAAAAATTTGCTTGGGTCTCACTGCAGGGCCTGAAATTACTCCAGCACATTGCCGGTAGACAAACACCCTTTATTTGGTTTCACTTATTTCGGTTAAAAAACAAACAAACAAAAACCACCACCAACAACAAAAAAACACCTTTCCCCCTCCCCTGAGATGACATTAAAATAAACTGTGTTTAAACTGAAACCAAGTGCTTGTACAGTATTTTCCTCAGTATGAAACTTGTTTTAAGTCAAACCATTGAAAGTTTCCTTGGTAGGCAGGGCTTTGAAGAGCGCATACTCACTACTACCCATGACACTGCAAATTTCGGCGCTAGCCCATGGTAACTCCCACGCCAGGTAGGCAGCAGAGTGCAGCGTTAGCAAAACTGCTGCCATTTACCGCAGTCACCAAACAAAATCAAAGCTTGCCTGCGCCTACAGAGCTGTAGCTCCCCGAGCGTGGGGAGCCCCATGCCCTGCTTCTTGCTTGTTTGTCGCTACACCCAGACAAGGTCACGACGGGCAAGAGTTAGAGGGTGCAAAGCCCTGATAGTCACCCAGCACGTTTGGGACCAGCCATGCTTCCCTACACATTCAGGCAACATTTATTAGAGGCATTCCTAATGAAAGGCTTGTTATTTTCCCAAGTAGAGACGAGCAGCCCTGGCTTTCTCACAGCGCTTTACTTTCTCCTTTCTGCACCCCCCCATCACTATTGTGTAACAACCCACAAGATACATGACATTTATCATGACACTTCTCATCCATTCACTTGACAATTAGAAATACCCCGTGGGAGGGCTGGAGGTCTGATATTTGTGTTTGTGTTTTTGAGTTTCAGCATTTCTGTAACCCTTCGTTACCATTGACACGGCCAAAAGTCAGCGCTCGCTTCATGAGACAGGCACCTCCAGCTCACGGCCATGCATTACCTCCTCCGTAGGAGGAAGAGGAGCTTGGGCTTGCAGTCTCATTTGCATGAAGAAGCACCTCCACCAGCATCTCCTGCTCGGCTGACAAGAAGTCACACCATCAGGAAAGTTTTGTCAACTTCGCCTTCTCCTTGTAAGAGAGGTGTGTGGGTCAGCAATGAAATTTGCCATTTCTTTGCCAATGGACAGATAAAGTCAGATTCTGCTTGCAGCAAAACCAGATTCAGCTACTGCTTATGAAAACAGCCTGACCCCACTTCTAAGCAAATAATAGTAATATAGCTTTTTTTAGCACCTCGAATAATTTTATTAATTATAACATCACCCCATTAGTATTTGCTCACTACCACCACTTGGTTTAAGGTACATCACATGGGCATACCGTGCTCAAGTAAATCAAGGTAACTAGAATTCAAGTAAACAAAGTGATTAACATCAGAATTAAGATGAAATGACACAAATTATGATAGGTTTATGCCCAGACCTAGGGCTGATAGAGCTACTAGGATTATTACACCTCAAACCACTTGCAGAATAAATAATTAAAACAAAAGCAGATTCTGACTTGCTTAGACTTGTCTGCAGATAATGAAACATCAATAATCATGCAGGAAACCTGCTGTATTTTGCTGTATTCGATTTTTGAATACCAGGCTTGGTTCGTTGCTTCCCGCAGTCCCCGTAGCACTGCCATCACCACTAGTTGCAAGGGAGGCGGTTTCACAGGCAGTGGCTTTCCCCTGCAGAGGCTGCAACACCACGCTGCCCGAAGGCATGGTGTGTTGATTGAAGCATGGCCTCTATGTGTCATGTGTCAAGGATGATATGTCACCAAGCCATCCTTGCAGCTCCATGCAAGGTGTTGAGATAACACTAGCAAATCGCAGTCTCGTGACTGCTTTTTAGTATCTAATATAACAAATCAATATAAGCTCATTCCGTATTAACGTTGATGTTATGAATGCTCACTAATGCATAAAAAACATGGGATCAATGCACAGAAAGGATTTCCACCAAAAGTTTACAGTGAAGCAGAGACACAGAGCTGACTTTCCCCCTCTGGCACAAATTACAAGTGAGTTTACGCTGCATTGTGCAAGGGCAGAGTGCAGTATTTGTGATAAATTATTAAGAAAACAAAGCTTCCCTTCCTTCTGTCTTCGAGGGAACAACTTAATTTTGGCTATATCAGTTTGCTATTCGTGACTGATAGATAAATTACGCTGTGAGAGAAACCTGAGCTTTCGGGTATATTTGCTGGCAAGCAAAACTCTGTCGTGTCAGCAGACCGGTTACCGCACGTATTCACAACTCATGCTGGTTGACCAGGCGTCATCTGATGGGACAACATTTTTTTCACTCTTCTTTTTCCGTGTTTCAGGACAGAACCAGTCTCTACAGACACTCTGAGATGTCCCATGCCCAGATCCAGCACTGTGCATGGCATTGTGCCTGTACACCCCAAAACTCCCACTTGTTCCCACCTGATCCTCCCCACACTGCCAGCATTGCAAGGGGGCCCATGGTTCGGAAGCGAACAGCCAGTGATGCAGATCTGAGGGCAGCATGCTGTTACTTTCAGTTTTAATCTTCTGCCATTGCTGCTTTGAATAGTTCTGCACACTCGCCTTTTCTTTGTCATAGGGCAATATTTAGTTTAACAAAGGGATTTTGGCAGACAGGCTGAAAAGAGATTCCCCCAAGTTAATTCCTGTTTCCCGGAGGGATGGATGAAGAAGATACCTTCCTATGTGTTGGTGTCTAGCCTCAGCACAGGTTGCTCCTGGCCCCCTGGCATTCAGCCCACTCCTTACCAGGCAGTCTCACTTTGGGGTGTTTCATGGGGTCAAGGCGAACAAGAGAAAAAGGGCGGATGCAATCCTCCTCCTCTTCCTTCACCATCTCTGCACCTTTCTAGCCTGGACCTGGCCCAAAGGAGCTGGGACCCCCTGGGCAGCAGGGGCTGGTGGCTGCGTTGCTGTACCCCACGGCAGGCAGCACAGGCTGAGCCAGCACCTCCTGCTCCGCACACGTCTGCAGGAAGGTGAGCGTTAGCATCTCACCCCAGCCTCTTCCCGGATACGTGTTTGTGCATGTGTGTGTTTTCACAGCCTTGCAAACGATGAAAAAGGATGGTTCCTTTCAGCAGTGATAGTCTCACAAGGAAGTGGCAGTCGTGGGACATCAGCATTGCAGCTCTAGTCTGGATATCAGCCGGGGAAACCCCTGCCCCTTCGTATCACTGCATTAAGATAACCTCAGCAGGCTCATCCCTCTCCACCACGGTCCTGCCAGTGGCAGCAAGGCTAGGAAAACCTGCGTAAGGCAGGATGAAGAGAGTTACTGACACCTGAGGCACGCTGAAGGCTGTAGGTGACGCTGCCCCCACCTTGCTGCCCCCACCAACACCCCAAAAGCGGGCAGCAGGATGCCGGCTTGTACCTCACCAGCTCCCAGGTTACACAACCGAGGGCAGAGAAAAACAGGTCGCAGAAAGGGGCTGAACTGTGAACTGCGGCCGCAGGCACTGGCCTTGACCTGAGAGAAGCCTCCCCGGGGAGCCGGGCAGGGCGGCAGCGGTCTGCGCGACACGGTGTGGGGCTGCCGGCAGCTCTCTCACCTCCTGGCTCTCAGCCGAGCACCAGGGCTGGGTTTGAAGCATGCTTTGGGCAGGTTTGAAGCACACTTTGGGCAGGTTTGAGGCAAGGCAGCGTAGCTAAGGCCGGAAGGCCCTGACCTGCGGTGCAGCCACACGCTGCCCTGAGCACTCGTCCCAGCCGGCCAGGTGTCCTCGCAGGCTGCTGAGAAACAGGGGGTTATGTCTGCCACAGCCCCATGTCTCGGTGTCCCCACTGACCT